AAGAATACCAAAAATTGATGTGACTAAACACATGCTTGTAACCAAATTCAAGGCTTCTTTAGATGTATCTTGCATCTTTATTGCATCATTGCCACTAGTTGTTTGCATAAATCATGTTTCATGCTTCTTTACTTGGATTTTTTTTCTTTTTGTTTTAGGAAAATAAAATAAGCAGGAACAGTTGAACAGATTCTAGACACATGCATCCTTGGTTACAGAGCTCCTGAGCTAGCAGCTTCGAGGAAACCGTTACCGTCTTTCAAAGCAGATGTTTATGCCTTTGGTGTGATACTTCTTGAGATCTTAACGGGACGATGCACAGGAGATGTGATCACAGGTGAACAAGAAGGAGTTGATTTAACTGATTGGGTTAGATTACGTGTTGCTGAAGGAAGGGGTGGGGAGTGCTTTGACTCGGTGTTGACACAGGAGATGGGAAGTGATTCGGTTACGGAGAAAGGGACGAAAGAAGTACTTGGGGTTGCTTTGAGGTGTATAAGACCAGTTTCTGAGAGATCTGGTATTAAGACCATTCTTGAAGACTTATCATCTATTTAAAAACATTGTTCTCTCTCGTTTTTTTTTTGTTCTCTCTCGTTCTGTTTTTGTTTTTGTAGGTTGGAGTTGCATGCTTTTTTTTTTGTTTCTGGAGAAGCATGCTCTTCATTTAAGGTTGTGTCTTGTGTGTTTCTTGTGTTTTGACATTTTTAGGATGGGTTTCCAGAAAAATAAAATGAATGTGTTTTCTAATATCATTATAAAACACATATGTTATATATGATAGTTTTTGGCGCTTCCAAGATGGGTTTACAGAAAAATAAAATAAGTGTGTTTTCTAGCATAAGTCTGTTTTCGAAAAGAATCAAAAGTGGGTGAGGAATGTTAGACATTCCTTGTTCAGGATGGCTATTCTAAATTGGAACTTAATCTTCCCAAAAAATATAATCAAAAGGATCTATAAGAAAATTCATTGGCTATAGAAATCACCAAATAGAATTCATTGTCTACAAAATAGAGAACACATATCAAACAGAAACATTAAAATAGGACAGCTTGAAGCATTTTCAATAATTCTATCTAGAAAGTGTTAAATGTGGTATCATTATAAAACACCTATGTTATATAGGATATCTTTTGGCACTTTCAGGATAGTTTTCCAGAAAAATAAAATGAGTGTGTTTTCTTGCATAAGTCTGTTTTCGAAGAGAATCAAAAGTGGGTAAAGAATGTTAGACAATCCTTGTTCATGATGGCTATCCTATATTGGAACTTAATCTTCCAAAAAAAAACATAATCAAAAGGATCTATAAGAAAATTAAAATAGGGCAGCTTGAAGCATTTTCAATAATTCTATCAAGAATGTGTTAAATGTGGTATCATTATAAAATACCTATGATATTATATAGGATAGCTTTTGGCACTTTCAGGATGGGTTTCCAGAAAAATAAAATAAGTGTGTTTTCTTATATCATTATAAAACACCTATGTTATATAGGATAGCTTTTGATACTTTCAGGATGGGTTTCCAGAAAAATAAAATGAGTGTGTTTTCTTGTATCATTATAAGACACCTATGTTATATAGGATAGGTTTTGGCACTTTCAGGATGGGTTTCCAGAAAAATAAAATGAGTGTGTTTTTTTGCATAAGTTTGTTTTCGAAGAGCATCAAAAGTGTGTAAGGAATGTTAGACAATCCTTGTTCAGGATGGCTATCCTAAATTGGAACTTAATCCTCCAAAAATAAAAAAAAATATAATCAAAATCTATAAGAAAATTCATTGGCTATAGAAATCACCAAATAGAGTTCATTGTCTACAAATTAGAGAACACATATCAAACAGATAACATTAAAATAGGATAGCTTAATGCATTTTCAATAATTTTATCAAGAAAATGTTAAATGTGGTATCTTTATAAAACACATATGTTATATAAGATAGCTTTGACACTTTCAGGATGGGTTTCCAAAAAAAAAAAAGAGTTTGTTTTCTTGCATAAGTCTGTTTTTGAAGAGAATCAAAAGCGTGTAAGGAATGTTAGACAATCCTTGTTCAGGATGGTTATCTTAAATTGGAATTTAATCTTCCAAAAACAAAAATATAATCGAATTCTATAATAAAATTCAATGGCTATAGAAATCACTAAATAGAGTTCATTGTCTACAAAATAGAGAGCACAAAACAAATAGAGAACATTAAAATATGATAGTTTGAAGCATTTTCAATAATTTTATCAAAAAAGTGTTAAATATGGTATCATTATAAAGAGATATGTTATAATCAAACACATAAATTTATTTAAATATAAGTTATATACTATAAAATTGGATTTTCTTATTGTTGCTTGTGCGTGTGAAACTGTCTAGATTTTATAAAGTTTTCAGGAAGCATTTGTGTAGTTTCAGGAAAGCCTTCCAGAAACTCAGAGATTTTGAAACTTTTTTTGTTTGGTGTCTTGTTCTGCTAAGGCATGTTATCTTTGATAGGCTCTTGAATTTGCTTATGAGTGTCTTGTTGTTTGTGCTTGTGAAACTGTTTAAATTTTATAAAGCCTTCCAGAAACTCAGAAATTTTGAAACTTTTTTTTTTGTTTCTTGTTATGTTTTGGCAACGTTGATATCTTTGATAGACTCTTGAATTTTCTTATTAATCTCTTGTTGCTTGTGCATGTGAAACTGTCTAGTGTTTATAAATATTGCAGAAAGCATTTGTGTAGTTTCAGGAAAGCCTTCCAGAAACTTGGAAATTTTGAAACTTTTCTTATGTTTCTCTTGTTTCTTATGCTTGTGAAACTGTCTAGATTTTATAAAGTTTTCAGGAAGCTTTTGTGTAATTTTAGGAAAGCCTTCCAGAAACTCAGAAATTTTGAAACTTTTTTTGTTTGGTGTCTTGTTCTGCTTAGGCATGTTGATATCTTTGATAGGCTCTTGAATTTTCTTATGAGTCTCTTTTTGCTTGTGCTTGTGAAACTGTCAAGATTTTATAAATTTTTCAGGAAGCATTTGTAGTTTCAGGAAAGCCTTCCAGAAACTTGAAAATTTTGAAATATTTTTGTTTGGTGTCTTGTTCTGCTTATGCATGTTAATATCTTTAATAGGCTCTTAAATTTGCTTATTAGTCTCTTGTTGCTCGTGCTTGTGAAATTGTCTAGTGTTTATAAAAATTTCAGGAAGCATTTGTGTAGCTTCAGGAAAGCCTTCCAGAATAGATAGAAGAGTTGTAGCAATTAGTTCATCAGTCTTCTACGTTTGATGAAATTGATGGTTAATTGTATAAGAAAGAAGAAAATCATACAAAAACAAACAAAATTAAGATTTTGAGTGCAATTGAGGAAAGTCTCGATTAGACATGTTGTGGTTTAACCAAAATAAGAATTGTACACCATATTGGTAAGAATCAAATGAAGTTGTCTAATTTTTTAAAATAAAATTACTTAGCTCATTTCTTCATCCTCAATTATACAAAAGTAGTTATTTATTTTACTTGTTTGGCTTATGCATATTGATATTTTTGGTTGGCTCGTGAATTTTCTTATAAAATTTTTAATCTCTTGCTTGTGGTTGTGAAACTTAGTATTTTTAAAATTTCAGGAATGATTTATGTAGTTTCAGGAAAGCTTTTCAGAAAATTCGATGTTAACAAATTTGATTTTTTTTTTGGTGTTTCCTTGTTTGGTTTAGTCATATTATATCTTTGATAGGCTCGTGAATTTTCTTATGAAATTGTTAGTCTCTTACTTGTGGTTGTACTTGTGCTTGTGAAACTGTGTAGTGTTTTTAAAATTTCAGGAAGGATTTGTGTAGTTTCAGGGAAGCTTTCCAGAATCTTTGATAATAACAAATTTGAATTTTTTTTTTGCTTTGTGTCTTCTTGTTTTGCTTACGCGTGTTGATATCTTTGGTAAGCTCGTGAATGTCCTTATGACATTGTTAGTCTCTTACTTGTGCTTGTGAAATTGTGTAGTTTTTCTAAATTTTCAAGAAGGATTTATGTAGTTTCAGGAAAGTTTTCCAGAAGATTTGGTGTTAACAAACTTTGAAATATTTATTACTTGGTTACGCATGATAGTAACATGATGGGAGTTTTATTACCTCTCAGACTAACACTAACTGAGCTGAAGTATAAGATTGGTTCAGAGTCAAGGCAAAACAGTTAAAAATTTATGTTGATTATTGAAAATTTTCAGATTTCTAAATGTAACAATAAAGCATTGTACATATGTTGTGGTTTAACCAAAATAAGAATTGTACATCATATTGGTAAGAATCAAATGAAGTTGTCTAATTTTAAAAAATAAAATTACTTAGCTTATTTCTTCATCCTCATTTATAGAAATGAAGTTATTTATTTTACTTGTTTGGCTTATGCATGTTGATATCTTTGGTAGGCTTGTGAATTGGCTTATAACATTGTTAATCTCTTGCTTGTGCTTGTGCTTGTGGTTGTGAAAATTTGTAGTATTTTTAAAATTTTAGAAAAGGTTTATGTAGTTTCAGAAAGGTTTTCCAGAAAATTCGATGTTAACAAATTTGATTTTTTTTTTGGTGTTTTCTTGTTTGGCTTAGTCATGTTAAATCTTTAGAAGGCTCGTGAATTTTTAGGATAATGTATTCTAAAATTTAGAAAGCCTTGAGCGTGTTCAGGATGAGTTTCTAAACTGAAGATAATGTATTATAAAATTTGGAAAGCCATGAATGTGTTTAGGATGGGCTTCCAGATAAATATTAATCTTTAGGATAGACTTTAAGGTTTAAAATTTAGAATTTAGGTTTAGAGTTGATGTTTTAGGGTTTATGGCTTAAGGTTCATGTTGAAGATCATAAAATATAAAATTTCAATCGAATTGGAACACTATTATTGACCCTAGTACTAAAATCAAATAAAATGTAGAGATAGCAAATCAAATAAAACATGAAACGATAAAGAGAAAACAACAGAATGGTGATATGATTAAGTAATATAGAAATAAAAAGCACAACACTTGAAAAACTACATTTAATTAAGCTTTTGATGATGAATCTTCGTCATCATCATCTTCAATGTCCCAACTTAAGTCTTCATCTTCCTCTGCTGCACTCAAGCGTTTACGTAGCTCAGCTCTGTTTGGACATCCACCACTAGAACGACTCGTTTCCTTTCCATCAATGCTGCTCATATCTTCAATCTCGTCCCATCCCATATCCTCTTCTTGAGTTGATGAACCATCTGGTTTAGCTGTGTTCTGTGATGGAGCACTCTCATCGGATTTTGGAACAGCTTCTGGTTTGACTGCATCTTGGATTGGAGCCTCATCAGATGCAGGAGGAGTAGTAGTAGCGTAAACTACTTGTTTTGCAGCATCAACAACTGGTTTTTTTTTTCTGCAACTTCTACATTACTAGTTTCCTTCTTCTCCTCAGAATCAACATTGCTCACTTAAGTCACTGACTCAGCACTTGTCACTTCATCATCTTTCACAGTCTTGCTCACATCTCCACTACCCACATCATCACTCCCTTAAAGTTTCAATCTTGAAACATCTTTGGCAGCGTTTTCAATAACAATCTCGCTGCTCTCCTCCTCATCATCAATATCCCAGCTCAACTCTTCCTCATCATCTGCAGTAATAGATCGTTTCACAAGATTAGCCCTCAAGTCCTCAGCTTGCTTGAGCTTATAAACCTTATAGAAATACCTAAACCAAAACGTGTCATGATCAACCACATTAGGAACAACCCTCTTATACACTCCAACAAAAATCTCTCCATCTCCTCAGCTTTGTCTCCCATAGAAAACTCAGATTCCCACTTCTTTTAATCATCTGAATCCTCAGGCTCTTCACTGTAAGTACTAAGATCTCCCTGAACTGCACGAACCTGAGCATCGAAACGACTATATGGCTTCGAGTGGCTAAAGCTATCGCGACGACCAAAGCTAGTACTAGTGTTATCAGAAGAATCAGATTCGTTACCAGCCGTTAAGATCGCTTCTTTGCCTTGAGCGATGATCTCAGCCGTACTTTTTAAGACGGTGTTCCCAAATTCGTCAAAGGCGTGTCCCACTGTGCCAAGCGATCCCTGCGCGACTTCGATCTCTTTCTTCATACCTGTCCTGGATTCTTCTAGATCTCGTCGGTAGGTTTCGATCACTGACTCGGATCTGTCGGTTATGGTTTTCATCAGACCACCGAAGCTCCATCCTCCGCCATTGTCGTCGTCTTCGTGTTTAGGAGTTATATTTCTAATCTCTATTTTTTTTTTTTTAATTTTAAAGGAGGATATAAAAGTAAATGATATCTTTAATGAAACCTATCTTTGTGACTTTTGATATTGAGTGCTAGTTTGGGAACAAAAACTTGGTTTGGTGTTATTTTGGTCTTTATTTCTTATTTTAATTGTTAAGTCTATAATTGTGATAAAAACTTTTTTAGGTCTATTGTAGTCATTTATGGGCAATTCTCTTAGATAGTCTTTTTAAAAGTTTTTGTTACAAAAATAGCCCTAAAAATTAAATGACCAAAACAACTTCTTTTTATTTTAAAATTTCTAATATTTTTTTATATTAATTTGAAACCCTAAACCCAAAACCCCACTCTTTAACTCTAAATCATAAATCTAGATTAGTTAACCCAATGATATAAGTGCATATTTACCCTTTAATAAAAACTTATTTTGATAATTTTCCTGTTTGATGGCTATTTTTATGAAAATAAACTAAAAATGGTTATACATGGAAATTTCTCATATGTTATTCTAACTACAATGAAAATACAACAATTAAAAAACATCTACTTTTATTCATCAACTTATCAAAACCTCAAAAGTATTAGCTTCTTCTCTTATAACTTGCTTTTGAGATGATATTGAGGAACGTAAGTGAAAATAATGTGATCTTAAGGGGAGGAGGGGGGGGAACTAAAATGAAAATATTACTTAATTATTAGTTTAGTATCTTAAATGTGAAACAACACAATATTTTTTTTTGTGTAAATGTTAAATTTTATATCAAATTTTTATTTCTGACAGAAGTTTTAGAGAAAAATAGAAATAAATAAAAACTAAAAAAGGAAGTTTACTGAAATATAACAAATCTTAGGATAATTGACTACAACTATACAAATCTTTTTTTTATTACTGGCATTTTTAAAATACCAAACATGCCCTTTTTAATGTTATACGAAAAAAGTATTTACAAGAATGCCATTACTTTTCGCTGGCATGTAAGCCAAAACCCGGCACCACATAGGAACTCGGTTACATTTTTTCATTAAGTCAGCCGTAAAGTGCTACATACGTCGTTACGGCTACTTTATTGCTATGTTTCATCAGCCGTCCGGTATGGCTGATTTACATAAACCTGGCTGATTTATGGGAAAATAGCTGATTTACGTACACAAGTTATGGCTGACTTATACATCAGCGGTTTGATTTCTGGAAAATTTGGCTGAGTTGTAGTAACGACACAACTGAGTTAATAAACATCGAACGGCTAAGTTATTAAAATTGCGGCCGGCTAATGGGATGTTGTGACGGCTGGGTTTATATTAATCAGCCGTAGTTGAATGGATTAACAGTAAACTCAGCTTGTTTACGGCTGAGATATTAGCGAAAGATTAATTACTAGAATAGATTCAGTTGACGACTAATTTATGTGAGGATACGACTGACTTATGGTTTTTCATTATAATTACGGCTGATTTTTTAAGAAAAGATTAATTACCGGAATGTATCCATTACTCGGCTGACTTACTGATTAACTGATTTCCATGTCATCCGCCAGGTCATCAACTTGGATTTTCCATGTTATCACTAACGGACGAAATTTACAACTTGTGTTTATGGGAATGTTCATGTTCTTCTTCATATTTGTTAGAGTCCTTATTAGTTATTTATCGTCTTCATCTTTCTTAGTTGGTTATGGATCCAGTAATTATTGTTTTCAGTAACTGGATTAAGAAAAAGAGATATGTATTCAACGTCGACAGTAGAGAATGTAGAGTTCTTCATTTAGATGAGAAAACGGTACATGTAGATTTCGCAAAATCTGTCCTCGGTGATTATGGATTGAATGATTTGAGGGATCATATTATGCTTAGCTACATGTTCTCGAATAAGCATTAAAAACAATGGCGTACGACACTCCACCAGTTTACGTGACCAATACTCGACAATTGCAAAGCTTTCTAAGCCTAAAGAAAATCGAACAACTACGTCTCTGTGTGGAGATTACGAAGAACAAGGATGACAGAGCAACATAGAAGAGTAAAACAGTTATCAGTATTAGCTCAGAAGTAGAAGCTTCAGAAGTTGAGTCCAGAGACGAAAATTACAGTGCGAGTTACGAAGGGTGCAGTTTGGAGAAGGAACAAGATGACAATGATAATGACTACTCTAGTAAGGTGGAAGGAGAAAAAGACGACAAAGTCGGAGAAGATGAGGAAGTCAATGAAAACGAAGAAAATAATGAATTTGAAAGTCGATTTGATATGTTCGACGACTCAAACGGTGCATCATCTGAAGATGATAACTTTAGCTCATATGGTGAGTCCCCTTTAGAAGACGAAGATTCACCAACGCTACCTCCCAAGAAGGGATATTTGAACTCGATGAGCGGTTCTAAAGGTAATTTGGAGGTTCTAAGGTTGGAGAAGTTGTCAATAAACCTTGCGGTAGGGAAACGATACGAGAGTAAAGACGCTTTGGAGAGACGACTGAAACTTCTTACAGTGAGGCATCGATTTGATTTCTATGTAGAAATTTCAACCCGACATCATACGTTGTTAAGTGTTGGGTTGATGGATGTCTCTAGAGAGTTTGTGCTTCTACCAAAGGGGAGGCGTCTTACATTCGTATTTACGATTCAGATCATACATGTTCTATACTTGAGCGTCATAATCAATCTCGACAAGCAACACCAGATATTTTTGGTGAGTTGTACAAGAATTTTCTCGGCGACGGTGGTTCGGTCGTTTGCCTACGAGTGACGGAAAAAATATCTTTAAGCAATTTGGTGTAAAGATAATTGCTTCGTTGTGGCTGGTTTATGTTAACGATATACACTGCAGCTGGGTTTTTATAATGTTGGATGCGACTGAGTTATAGTAAAGATAGGGTTATTATAATTGCTTCGTTGTGGCTGTCTTAATTCTATGTTAGGGCTGAATTATGTGTATCGTTTTATCATTGTGAACATATGGATTATTTAAAATCACACCAGACACTAAAATTTGCAAGGGAAATCGATGAGAGAACACCTAAGTGTGGGTTTGAAAGGTTGCCTTCTTACTTATACATGATAAGAAGGGCAAATCCGAGTACAGTTATGCGTCTTCAAATAGATGAGTTTGGAAAATTCATGTAAGTGTTTATTGCATTTGGTGCAAGCGTAAATGAGTTTCCTTTTATGCGCAAAGTTGTTGTTGTCGACGGTACATTTTTAATGGTAAATAAAAAGGGATGCTATTCAAAACACTAGCTCAGGATGGTAACTTTCAGATTTTTCCAATAGCCTTCGCAGTGGTTGACACTGAAAATGATGATATGTGGCATTGGTTTTTTACGCAACTAAAACTCTTGATTCCTGACGACGAGGGTCTTGCGATAATATCGGATATGCATAACTCTATAGGGAGCAATTACAAATGTGTATCTGTTAGCTTCTCGGGGAATATGCACCTACCATTTATATAAGAACATATTGAAACGGTACAAAGGAAAAGATGTATTTCCTCTGGCGAAGAAAGCGGCGAGATGCTTTAGGATGTCTGACTTTACTGGGATTTACGAGGAGATTGAATCGATTAATCATGCACTACACGACTACCTCGAAAGATCTGATCCCCGACTGTGGACGCGTGTTCATTTTCCGGGTGAGAGATACAATTTGATGACCATGAACATAGAGAAATCAATGAACAGAGCATTATCTTCTGCTAAATGTCTTAACATTGTTCGAATATTAGAATCGATATGGGTTATGATGACCAGATGGTTTGCTGAACAGAGAGAGGATGCCATATCGCAGCCAACCACGCTTACGCGTGGTGTGGAGAAACTACTACATATAATTCAGTCGTAACAGTAAACATAAAGCCATTGTAGTTCGTTAGTGAGCCATTATATGTAATAAGTCAGTCATTTCACATTTATTCTATATTTTTAATAGGGTCGTGTAACTGCCACCAGAGATTTGACGGTACAAAGGATTGATGATCATCACACTGAAGTTAAATATAGATCTTCTGGCAAGTCTTTGAATGTAGTGAATTTGGTAGAGCGAAAGTGCACATGACAGCGTTTCGAACGCGAGAAATTACCATGTGTACAAACAATCGCAGCTGCGGAGTACATGAATGTTTGTCGTATATCCTTACGCAGTCCTTACTTAACAACGATTATTTGGTGAGAGCATATGCTGAATCGGGCATGCCAGTTGACGAAGCACAACCTATTCCAGAAATAGTGGCTAACTAACCGTGCTTCCCCCCATATATTCGTCAACAACCAGGCAAACCTAAGAAAAATATGATGAAAACTGCTTTAGAAGTAGCACTTGCAAACATACGTCCTAAGAAATAGCACACATGTTCTCGATGTAGACAGGGTGGACATAATGCGAAAACTTGTCCGATGTAAAAAAGTGTTGCAGAGATTTCATGTTTTTGTATTACGGCTGGGTTATGGGTTTTAACGTTCCTCCACTACGGTTGGGTTACGTATTTCCAAGTTTGGTTTCACGGCTGGATTATTGATTTTCATGTTTTTGTATTACGTATTGAATTTTGTTTTCATGTATTTCTATTACATCTGGATTAATCATTTTCATGTTTTTGAATTACGGTTGAATTCTGACAATATGTGTAACGTCCTAGTATTAGTTTCAGCCGTATTTTTACACGCCAGCATAATAGCGGCATAATTAGCCAATAACAAATGAGGAAAACTTTGAAAACTCAACCGACGGAACTCAATAGTCCCTACGTAATTTTTTCTTCTTAAAATACGAAACTCGCTAATTAAATTACTCTTTATGGCTGAGATTAAATTACTCAATTACCAGCTCTCTCTTTCAAATGCAATTGTTAAAATTCCCGCCAAGAATACAAAAAAATCGCGCAGTCAATTTTGGCTGAGTTAGTATGATAAATAACTTAGTTACTGAAGTCAATAAGTTACTTCAC